ATAATTTTTAATTTTATTTAAAAATTTGTAAATACTTTTCAATTTTCCAGGCAAATTTGCCTGGAATACGGTTTAAGAGATAACTTTTGATCTATTGAACCAATTTAGATAATTTAACTACCAAAATAATTCCCTTAAAAAGAAAATTCCAACAAGCTTAATATTATTAAAATCTACTTACAAAATCACAAGATAGATAATTTTATATTATTTAAAGAATAAATACATATCTTGCACTCTGCAATTTGCTTATATATAGCACTTAAATATAATTAGCTAATTTTGCAGGTTATTATTTTTAAAAAAATAAATTTTTATTATTTTTTTTTAGATTAAAAATAACTTATAAAAAATCAAAAAAAATATTCAAATTTTTTGCAATTATATGCAAAATTTGATGTTAAATAATTTACTTAGAGACAAAAAAAAGTTAAAAAATAAAATTTAAAGATATTTGTATTTTTCATTTTTTTGCTTATTTTTTATATTTTTCCAAATTTTATATCAACTTCTTTTTGTCTCTAAGTAAATTTGAATTTTGTATATAAATACAAAAAAATTTGAATAGTTATTTAATTTTTTATAAGTTAGTTTTAATTTAAAGAAAATTAATAAAAATTTGTTTATTTTTTTAAGAATAATAATCTGCAGAATTAGCCAATCATATTAAGGTGTGATATATAATCACAATGCAAGGGTGCAAAGTATATTAAACTTCTTATTTAAATATATACAAAATAATACAAAATATTGTCTATTTTGTGTTCTGTAATTAGATTTTAATGATTTTGCACTTGTTGGAATCTTCTCTTCAAGAAAATTATTTTGGCAGTTAAACTATCTAAATTGGCTCAGTAGATCAAAAATTATTTAAGTCTAAATATTTTATTATTATATAATTTTATAATTTTAACCAGAATTATAAAATTTTAACCTGAATTATAACCTGATATTTTAAAATTACATAATTCTGAAAGCTTTCTTACTATGATATATTGGTACTAAAAAGACTATAGTATTGTTATAAAATTTTAAACCTGGTATAAATAGCAATATTACAATAGTTAGGCTTGCATTAGTTAGATTTTTTGCTATCTTTGTTTGTTTTCTTTTTATTTATTTTATTTTCTTTATTTTTCTCTATATTCATTTCATTTATTATTCTTTTTTTTTTCTTTTTGGATGTATTCATTTTTCTTTGTTTTTGTATTATTACTTTTTTCATTTTTTATACCTTTTTGAAGAAGAAAAAAATATTAAGAAAAGGCAATTTTGACAAAGCTAGCAATAAGCTTTTAGTGATTCAATGGGTATTTATCTAGCAAGTTAAATACTAGAGATAAAAATATGTATTGCTGCAGCCAATCGCACTTGGGCATTTCTGGAAGCAGCCAAGTAAGTCTTTATTATAAAGTAGAATAGTTGAAGGCAATTAGATATTGCAAACTATTTAGTTGGATACTTTGTATAATACATATTATACTTAAATTCTAGTTAATAAAAGCAGAATTGCCAAAGTTAAAAAATATATATATTATAAATATTTTTTAAATCAGCCAATCAGAGTTGACTTATGTGGGTACCCATAGTAAAAAAATATTACATAATAAATATCACCACCCTTATCATAAATTAGCAATTTCTAATTAATATGTATTATAAAAATTATATAATAAATATTATTACAATTAATAAATTTTTTATTAATTAATATTAATATTCTATCAAGAATATCAAAAATTATGTATATCAAAAAAAAAGGTTTAAAAAACAGTAAGTCTTACTATGCAATTAATAATGGCTAATTAACAACTATAAAGAAAAAAAAAACTTATTTTCAATTATGTACAAATATAATTTAAAAATAGTGCAAATATTAAACAAATTTAGCTAAATTTATATCTAATCTAATTTCAAAACCATCCGTATATCATGATTTACTAAATTTTTTATTAAAAAAGTGAATGCGATTTACTGTCTAGTGCTGTATATTACAATATCAAAGGGTCGCCAACTAAAGTCTGATATTAAGTTTTCACTATACCAGAGCTGACCCGCAAGAATTCATGTACGATCGGTATTTTGGTCGTTTCTAAAGGTTGTAACTTATTGTGTTCCTAGAACAACCGTTGATCGCCTTAATAAATTATATAATATCTTTCATGGGTGAAACCCGTAGGTGAAAAATTGAATTTTACTTACAAGTTTTAATTTAGCGATACTCAAATATGAAAATTTAGTTTAATTAGCAAATGAGTACCCTATCTACTACCATTAAAATATACTGTATAAGGTACAAGTTGGGTATTGTGACGAATCGAAAAATATACCCAGCGACATTTTTCGGCGGACGGTGCAATTCATATGATTGGTTGGGTAGATGATTTAAATGTCACGTGAATCTGCACTGTCCCTAACGTTTAAAGTTTAACATTTTCTACAGGGGGATCCCCAAATTTCCGGGTCGTAATGGCCGGAATGCGTCTTGGTTAGGGTCGTGGTTAGGACTGGGTTAGGGTTAGCGGGGCTATAGGCTATAGTGAAATTATCAGCTAGGCACTTTTCACTTAATGAACGACTATTGTTTCATTAGTAAAATTCTTAGTGATCTTGGGGCAAAATTGAACAACTCCGGCCCTTCCGACCAGAGTTCTGAAGCTTCCGACCCGGGATTTTGGGGATCTCCCTGTAGTTGTCGTCCCTAACCACTGTTCGAAGAATATCCAATATCACCTTATTTAGTACTGATCTTCAATCTTTTCACTTGCATACATACTATATCTAAATTTACAAATATATATACTAACAAACGTTATACCAATCCATTATTAACGAAAATCGGCAGGTCATAGATATTGCTTAAGGAAGTAATAGCCGAGTAGCAATTGACAAAAACAATTCGAATCCAATGGAAAATTTTGATACTTTTATTTTTTTTTTTATACAAGCTCGAAAGCAGGAACCTTACAAGTAAGTAAAACAACTTAAAAAGGGGACACAAAACAAACAAACAGAAGAGAACATTGAATTATACCTACTATTATTAGGAACATATAATTCTCTTAAAAATATTCATGTGTTGTTACATCGCGATAAAGAGGAAGAAAGAATATGGGATAATAAGATTGAAGCCGTACAGCGATTGCTGCATCAACTTGCTTAATACTTGACCGCAATTCTGATCTGAAGTGAGAAAAGAAATTACAAGTCATACTCACTAGATCTCAAATCTCCTCCTGAAAACATTGAAAGAGAATAAATTTTCCAACGCGAAAAAAAAAACAATTAAAAACCTCCCTTTGAGCTCATCATCACGTGCGCTGAATTTCTCTTCCTATTATCCGTTTAAATGATTTTGTTTAAAAAAAAAAAAAAAACAAAAAAACAAAATCAATCAAAAAATCAATCAGAAATAAAAAATAAACAAATAAAAAATATCATTACACAAATGGCTCAAATGTTATTAAGTCGCAAGAGCCTTGTCTGGCCCATTTCTTCCTTCACCTGCATTATTATTGCCCCCATCGCCTCCATTAGCATTTACAGTGTTAACTTTTGGGCGCCTCCGTGTGCGCCTCTCATCATAATACAGCCGATATTCACAGAACATACAAATCCAATCGCCATTTTTTTCAGGAAATTTGGTTCTACGTCTTGTAACATTATTATTAATAGATTGAATGTCCACTGAACCAGAAGTTGATGATGCGTCATCTGTCTGCTGTTGGTGTTGATGATGCTGATGTGAGTGGTGTTGATGCTGATGCTGGTGTTGATGATGGGGATGCTGATTTGGGGCATTTTGACTATTATTCACAGTCATTTGAGCTTTTTTTTTATTCTTTTTGCGACCAGCATTTGGCATTCTTTTTGGTGTTGCTGGTGGTGGTGGTGGCAGTGGTGGTAACAATGCTTTAGATCTTATTGCCGTTTGAGGACGAACATGATTATTACTATTTACACCTTCGTCATTTTTGAATGCAACAGATGATGGTGCTGCACGTTTTGTTGACGCTTTTTTCTTTGAACCACCAGATACAGAAATAGTTGTTATTGTTGGTGATTGTTGAAGAAACAATGATGATGCGAATGGATCATTTTTAGTATTCATTGTTTGAATCGGCGAAACAGCCGCCAGTCGTTTTGCACTAGAAGCATTAACACTTGCAGCAGTTAATGCAGCAGACTTTTCAGGAATTGATTTAAATGAAAAATCAAATGTTGTTTGTGGAGGGCGTACACTATCAATATCCTTATCTGAAATTTTATGATCGAACGCAGATACCATATCACTACCTAATGAAGTTTTATTCATAACATTTATGTTGCGTTGCGTTGAGCGTCTTTCCACTCTTCTAAGTGGATTTGCTCGTTCTTTCGCTGTTGAAGTCTTCATAACTCCGCCAACACTACTATTCATCGCTGAACCACCCCCCACAGTTTGCAAGGCCTTTCTTTTCTTTTTATTATTAGCATTATCCAACCAATCAGTATGTCCGTTATCGTTACTGCCATCTTCCTCCTCAGCATCAAAATCTTCTTCTTCTGAATTTGTTGGAGTAAATGAAAATAGGGGAGATGGCGGTATAACAGGTAAAGGTTGTGTTGATGCCGTAACTATAATCTCATTTCTCCCATTGAACACAACGTTACCGATGGTATCATTTTTACTAATATTATTATTGTTATTGCTATTATCATCTGCGAGAATTCCATTAGATGATAGACGAGATTTAGCTCGTGATGGTAATTTTCGAATTGGCCTAAAAAAAGGAAATGTATTCGTCGCATTGTGAGCAAATCCTCTTGGAGGTGATGTCTGTAATGTTGTGGATGAATTTGCAGTATTATTATTATTATTATTATTATTATTATTATTATTGTTATTATTGACGTTATTCGTTATTCCTTTTGCCGTCGATGACGTTGATGCCAGAGTGTTACTAACGTCACCAAATTTCACTGGCAATTTTTTGGGTGTCGACGAAATCAGTGAAGTCTGAATATTTCCGTTTATGCTATTATTACTATCGACGCTCTTGGTCTGTGGCTTTGCTGACACATACAATGTCGTAGTTCTACCATTACGTTCATTGGAATGTAGCCCTTTCCTTGATGATGACGCAGGCGGTGATACGGTTGATTTTTTTGTTGAAGGACTTAATGGTGGCGTTGAAGGATGGACTAACGGTGGCGGTATACTAGATGATTGAAGCCCAGAAACTGTATTCTTAGAATTCATGTCAAATTTAAAAGATCCAGTAAATTGTGGAAACAATAAGTTAGAATTTGAAAAGTGTGTATCGGTTGGGGATGTGGTGTTTATCGATGGAGGCCATATAGAACTAGATGGCATTGATATAGATGGTGTTTTTGATGAAAGTTGAGGTGAAAACTTGTCAAGAACCGGTAGAACTGGAGGATGCCATTGGAGTGTTACGCGCCGTTGCTCCTTTTGATGTGATATGTTTGCAGGTGCATTGGAAGAAATGGAAGGATTTTGAAAAGGATTTTGTAACGATAACTCAGAAGGATTTCCAAAGGAAAATGAAGGTGGCGATGAAGTAGCAGGTGGATTTGAAAAATTCGGTAGAAAGAAATTTTTGTCCGCGATATTGGGAAATGTGAATTTGGATGGAAAAGGGGAATCTATCATGCCAGACAAGATTAACAAATTGTTCTTTTTGTTACTACTTTTGCTCGCTTCAGAGGACTCACCATTTTTCTCATGGTTTACCGAATCGCCTTTAAATTTTGATGAAGAATTTTCTCCTTTTCCATTTGTGACCACAGCTGGTGGCTCCAACTCTTCAAGTAAATCCTGACTTGGCTTATTTGCTAACATCTCTCGTAAAACATCCTCTGCAATGGCTGGTGGTATCGTATACTCGGCTTCATCAGCTAATGTCGATTTTATGTCTTTAGATGTCCTTTTACGAGTTGATTCTGCTGTGCCTGCTATTTTAATTAAACCGGATGTTTCCTCTACAGCCGGATTATAATTTTCATCAATGGCTCTAGATAAGCTATTATGTGTGTTCTTCACTGTTGTCGCTTGCACAACAGACGCTGTTGTTATACTATCCAATGATGGAGAATCTCGAATTGTTAAATTCGCAAGTGAACTCGCGAGTGAATTATTTGAAAAATCTATTGTGGAGCTGGTTAGGTGAATAGTAAAATTATCATCATTCTCTGCCAAATCAATGTGACCATTGACATCTGAAGCGAAAAATTTTCCTTTTTCACTTCGAATGCCATTGGGATCTATATCACCGAACACAGAATTTGAACTAGTTCTTTTTAGTTGTGTGTCTTGTATAGAAGGCGGTGAGAAACTAATATCATGGTGAACTTGAGATTCCGACGCAACCACGGTAAAAGTTGCTTCAGTAATCACGGAGTCTTCCACAGTAGGAGAATCTTGTGAACCGTCTTCATTTTGCTCGTCCACAAACTTGTCCTGTGCTTGTCCCATGATGATTTCTTTGTGCGCCCCCGATGAGGCGTTGGTTGAAGACAATTTGACGGTTTAAAAAACAGAAATGGTGGGAAAACGGTAATTCGCACAATAAGCCAAAGCAAGGTAAAAAATGTCAGGATATGTTTAAATAGGTTAGGGTTTTTTGAAATTTCTTTAGAAGCTCGTATAAGCGTAAAAGAGCACAGCACAAGACAAACAAGAAGCAAGCTGAACGAGTCAAAGGTGAAGAAGACCAACCTTATATTAGCTAAGAATTTGAATGTTTTCGATTATTAGTTACAACAAACTTTAGGTGTCACAATTACGGAGATGTTATTAAACCTCTCGTTATATTATACCTGATATCAACATCTCTAAACTCTTGGTTTTTATTGGTTACTGTTTGCTACATCAAAGTTTTTAGCAAAGATGTGGCTTTGGTTAGAGATGGATATCTAATTACTAATCCATTGTCAAGAGTTATATTTTTGTTATACAGTATATATATATTATATATAACTTATAGTATTTTTCAATTTATTTGTTTATAGGCCAGAAATATATAGCTCCAATTAAAACAAGTGAGGGTCACGTGATCCGGTCTAGATCACGTGCAACCTAAAATCCGATCTGAAAATTTTGTGCACCTGCATTCAAAATTAGCCAATCAAATTCAATTATATAAGAGCAAAAAAAAATTTTAAAATTTACTAAAAATATTATTTAAAGCATTTATTTTTGGTGCAGGGTGTACCGTATGCGCGGTCATATGAAAAGCCAATCAACCAATCAAATTTAAGCACACAAATACACTAAGTATATATATATGGGTGTTATAAGTTAAAAGGGCCCTTTTACAATTTTTGAAAAATGAGTTTTCATTAAATTTATATAAATTTTAACATAATTGACTTTTTAATTATAAATGAAAGTTGATTTGCATATAAAAAAAATTACGAGAGGCTACGTAGAGCCAACACTTCACAAGATTGCCTAATAGTTATCTGTTATCTTTAACCAATCAAAGTCATGAAATTTGATTAATTCTGGATAATCAAACCAAATTATTAAACTCAAATATCTCAAAAAAATAAAATATATATAAAAATGAGCTCTTTTAACTTATAACACTTTATATATATTTTATTAAAGAATTTTGCTATTTATCACCACTGGTGATCATCACCGGTGTTGCTATATCTCAAAAATGTACTAAGTAAATGGGATCGGGTTCTCTAAGTAAAAATGTTCAGGACCCCCAAAAACCTTATGAGAACTGAGATCGGGCCCTATCGGGCCCTTATAGTAGTTATATATATTATATAAAAAAAACAATAATTCTCTAATTTCTAACCCTAACCCTAACTAATCTTAGGACCGGTGATGATCACTAGTGGTGATATGTAGTAATTTTCTTTATTAAATTTTAGATTTATTTAATAAAAATAACTAGAATTCATCTCAAGTAATTATCACCTATAATTTACAATATATAAAAAGTTATTATATATCAGAATCTTGAAAAACTCTGATGCAACTAATAAGTTACCAAAAAAGGAAATTTTGCATTTTTATATAGTAAATTTTTAATTTTTGCTTTATTTTATATATCTATTTGGTTGAAATTATACAAATTATATACAAACTTAGATCTAAGTTGTATTAGAGATTTTTGAAGTTCTGGGCTACTAGTAAAAACCAAGCAAATTGTTTTTAAAAAGTTTTTGTTTAAAATTTTAAATCAAAATATCTCTACAACTATTAAATTAAACATAATTTTTTTTATTTTAATTTTATAACTATATAAAATTAAAATAAATAAATTTTTATGATTATAACTAATTTTCACCCATAGTAATATCACCAGTATTATAAAATTTTTATTAAAATAAATTTATAGGTAGTTAAAATTAGAGTTAAGCTTAAGCTAAAGTTATTTTATTTTATTTTATTTTATTTTTTTCTTTGATAACCGTGTACTAAAATTTTATTAAAAGTGTTATGCTTAATACAAGACCAAGCTATCTAATAGGTAATTAGACTAAAGGCCGGCTGTCATTTAGAGATGCCCAACCTTGGTTATTGCACTGATGTTGGCCACTATATCCACATACAGTGCGCTATATTTAAAGATATAATCTAGCCAGGGCTCAGCTTCCACCTCAGGACCTCTTTTTCCTTCTAATTCTTCTTTTTTCTCAAAGAGCACGAGACAAAAAGTTTAAACCAAGAAGACAAATATAAAAACGACCAAAAAAAACAAACGAAACAAGAAAAAATAAACACAGATTATGAAAAAGAAAAAAACATAAAAAGAAAACTAAAACCCTAAAGGCACTATTATAATCCGTGCAAGGTTGGTAAAAATTATATAACAAATGCAACATTTGTATATCTTTTGTAAAAGTAAAGCTCTGTTTTAATATTAAAGTTTACTTTCCGACCTTCCTACTAACTTCAGATAGCTCTATTGTCCGAGGCCCCATATCAAGGCTATCTCTACTGTAATTGGAGTTCCTAGGCCGAGTCCCATGCAGTAGCACCATATCCGTCTGTAAACAAACATGTGGTTGCAATCTACTAGTCTATCTGAATTTGGAAAGTAGACAATACCGATCTTTTGGAGGGGGTAAGCCAAATCCCTACTTTTTGTCGAAAAAATTTGAAAGAAGGGCAGAGAAGCGGAAAAAAGATAAAAGGCACCACTTGGCCAGAAAAAAAGAGTGCAGTTTAAAAGAAACCTATTCTTTACTGTTCTCCAGTTATTTCGCAACCAATAGCTTCATCGACGGAAGGCTTGGACTGTATCACCTCCACCTAACCACCAAAATTTTGTATACAAGAGCACTCTCTTCTGCCAATTATCTTGTATACTAACGCTTTTGGCTTGTATATCAAATATATAAAAGAGTCCCCGATAGTAGAAAAAAGTTGACCTTTATAAAAACCGCCCTGTTGATTCACCTCACTACAGGTTATTACCACTCTTCAGTATAGAAAATAGGTATTCCTTTTCGTCAGAAAATTTGGTTCAAGTAATCGTCGAAAAGAGTTGTTCTAAAAAAAAATATATTCATTTATAATAAATATATAATATAAAAATTAAAATTATATATAAAATATGTTTTTTGTACTAATATGTGATTCCCCATCGATAATGGGGCTCGACCCAATCTCGTTACATATTGTTGTTGTAAATGCTACAAAAAACAAATTTGTAGCATCACTCTTGATATTATTTAATTAATATTCTTGTAAAACATGGGTCGCTACTGCTAGGCCTCCTACAAGTAGAAGTTTCATGTAGCAACTTTGTTACAATATATTAGACACCTCATGCTTATGAATAAGATGTAATAAACCACATCTCATTAAATGCTACTCATTTCTGATATATCTCATATAGTTGTTTTAATAAATATATTTAGATTATTTTAAGTTTTTAATTTTTAAAATATTCAGATATTGATTTATTTTTATTTAAAGATAATAATAAACTACATATTTTTTTTAGAACCTAAGTATGCTAATCTATTAGCTTGTTCATTCTCATATATACTTCTATGTCCTTTCACATGTTTGAAGTATGTTTTTCCTTCTCGATTTTTAATTAATTTATTTATTTGATTTACTAAATCAATTTTTTTTTTAGGATTTTTAATATTATAACAATTAATTGGAGTTGGGATCCTGCAGCCTAGTGGTCTAGGCACCCAACCCTCCACGAGCGGGTTTCGGGTTCAAGTCCTAGTAGGTATGTTTATCTATGAATATTTGGAAGTATCTGCCGTGGGAAGTCCAAGTGAATACAAGTCTGGATTAGGAATTTCCGGAAAGAGGTCCATTGTGGAGTAGTTGGCACTATGTGTAA